GCAGGGGACAGGGGCACACACGGGCACAGGGACAGGGATGGCAGCTGTGTCCCCGTGTCCCTGCAGGAGCTGCCTGGCTGCCCGGGACCCCTATTGTGTCTGGCTGCCCTCCAGGGGCTGCGTCCCCTTTTCCGAGGACCTTCCGTGAGTGTCCCTCCCATCCCGACCTCCTGGGGCCCTGCCCCGTGAGGGGACATGCTGGGGACACGGGGTGATGTCCCCTCTGTGTCCCAGGACTGGCTTCCAGCAGGACGTGGAGGGATCCCTCGGGATCAGTGGGACCTGCCAAGGTGAATTGGGGGAACGTGGGGGACACTGGGAACGTGGGAATATTTGGGGATTTCTGCAGACGTGAGGTCATGGGGGGATGCAGGTGGTACCACGGTGACATTGGGGTGGCTCTGGCACACGTGGGTGATGCCAGAGGATGGGGAGGACGTGGAGGGGACATGGCGGGGACATGGCAGGGCCTGGCTCGACCCCGCTCTGCTCTCACAGGAACTGAAAGGGACAGTGACGAGGACAGGGACCTGGCCAGCGGTCAGTGACATTGCCTGAGTACCCTGGGGAGGGACCCTGGGGACCAGGGGGGTGTCCCAGGGGTGGGAGAGAGACCCCAGGGTTTGGGGAGGAGGGCAGCAAAGACTGGGGAGGGACTGTGGAGTCAGGAAGGCCCCAGAGACAAGTCAGAGACCCCCAGGGACAGGAGAGGGACCCCAGGGGTGGGATAAAGATCCCAAGGGTGGAAGAGGGACCCCAGGGAAGGAGAAGGACCCTGGGGTGGGGGGACCCCAGGAACAGGAGAGGGATGAGAGGGGACCATGGGGACAAGGGGGGACCCCAGGGACGGGAAGGAGACCCCAGGGACGGGAGGACTCTGGGAGGGGGAACCCCAGGAGTGCGAGTGGGACTGGGGGGTCTCTGGGGGGACACCAGACCTGCTGCTGGCCCCACACTGACGGGAGGTCCCACAGGGGTTCGGCACCCCGGGCCGGCGCCCGAAGCCACGGTGCCGGTGCCGGTGCTCGTGGGCTGCGTGCTGGGCGCCTTCGCCCTGGGTGCCCTGGCCACCGGGCTGGTGGCCACGTGCTGCCAGCGCCCCGCCGTGCCCAAGGCGCCCCCGGAGCCACCGTGCGCCCCACGGAGCCCAGCCCAGCCTCCTGTCCCCCGCCTGTACCCCGTGCTGCCGCCCCAGCCCCAGCCCCAGCCCGAGCCCGAGCCCCCCGCGCCGCCCCCAGCCCGGGCACCCCGGCACCGGGAGCCCCGGCGTGGCCACACGGCCCCCCCGGAGCCCCCGGAGCCCCCCGGGCCGGGTCCCCCGGGCCAGGCGGGCAGGGAGGAGGTTCTGCAGCGGCTGCAGGGGGGCTCGGGGTGGCCCGGGACCCCCCCGGGCAACGGCTCCTTCGCCAACCGGGTTCTGCCGCGCTCCGCTGGCCCCGGGCCCCCGTTGGGCCCCCACGACCGGGCCCCGGTGCGGGTGGACGTGCCCCCCGACAGCCCCCCGTGCCCGCGGCGGCCGCTGGCACAGAGCCGCTCGCTGGGGGGGATCCCCGTGAGCCCCCCCGGGCCAGCCCGGGGCCTGACCCGCATGCACTCGCTGGGGACACCGGGGGGCTCGGCCTGGGGACCCCGGCCCGGGGCCCTGGAGCGCTCCCTGTCCCTGAAACCCCCCCTGCTCCCCAAGCCGCTGCTGCTGCCCGCGGCCCCGGGGCGGCCCTGAGAGCCTCGGGGGACACCCCGAGCTGTCACCTTCCCCTGCCCGGGGTCCCCCCGGGCCAGCTCTCTGTGGAGCCGTGAGGGTCCCTGTGTCACCAGGACAGCCCCCAGCAGGGTGAAGGGGTCCCTGTGTCTCCCCGGAGGTGACAGGGATCCCCGTGTCCCCACACTGCAGTGACAAGGTCTCCATGTCTGCCATCCCCTTGGTTTTGCTTTTTTTTTTTTTTTTTTTTAATTCTTTCTAATTTATTTTCTGTTCGGGGGGGAGGGATGTGAGGTGCTGTCACCCCCTTGGGGACACCCGTAAGGGGGACACACGGCCCAGCCCATCCTACTGTGTAGGAGCAGGGCTGGGCCAGGGCACTGCAACAGTGGCGCAGGATTTTAATAAAAAACAGAGAACAAAAAAATGAGCGTCAGTGTTGAAATTTCTGCATTCCACAGCATTTTCTTGGTAAAAAAAGGGGGGGGGCAAGCCCTTGTGTTCTTGTCCCAGAACTCAAGAATTTGTCCCCGAGTTCCTCAGTGATCAAAACAATAAAAGTCCAGATTAATCAAATAATTAATTAGCCCCAAGGGTGGGATGGGGTGAAGGGAGGGTTCCCCACGCTCAGCCCCACTGCCCAGCTGTGAGATCTGAGGACAGAGTTGGGGTTTCCGTGGCCTCCTCTGCTCATCCCAGCTGGATTCGCACTGATCTGGGATAACGGAAACTGCTCGGAGCTGGCTACTGCCAACAGGAGGGAAACACGTGTCTAATTAACCCCAAAGGGTGCTAATGAACCCCAGACTGTGCTAATGAACACCCCAAAGCATGCTAATGAACCCCAAA